GTATACATAACAATTACATGTTCGAGGTAAAGGGGTTGAAAATCAATGAAGTTCAAAATGGCATAATTTGTCAAAACACTATGTGTGAAATTAAGGAGTTCAATCAAAGTTGTTCAGTAGCCATCTACTCTATCTGTTATTCTAAAATAAAATCATCTAGCTATTGGAATTCCAATACTTTATCTAGGATTGTAAACTATGGCCAAAGGCTGTGTGATCTTCTCTCTTTAAAAGAAAAGTTTTCAACTTGTGACTTGCCAAAAACAATTGATGTTTGTGGAAATGAAGTAAATTTACTAGTCTCAAATGAGAACTGTGAAGTATTGTCAGATACATTACAAAGCAAATCAATTCTTGAAGATGGTATTCTAAACAATGAATGTACAGGGTTTTTGATGAGTTTTGAATCTTTTTGTATCAGTGGTATCTTAAAATCCACAAATACGTCAAAATATGTTTATTCTTTGTTAGTATACAATGAAAGTAACATACCACCAATTCAGTTCACTAAATGCATAAATGGTATACCTTCACTTGTTGATGTCATTTGCAAAATTCAAAGTGAACATAGATCTTCAGGACTACACAATACAATTTGTAACATGTTCATGTAAAAATGTCCATAGAAATGATAGAAAAAAGTTGATGAAAATTCAGAGAAATAAACAACACTATGAAACAGTGGAACCATCTAAAAAGAAAATGTTATTAGATAAACAGCAAATAAGGGATACAGGAAACAACCATGATAAACAACTGAATAAAGTTCAAAAATACAAAACAGTGCATTCTACTGAGAAAAATGACCTGTTAAACAGAAAAAAAGCACAACCATACAAAACAGTGGATGCTGCCAAGAAACAAGATCTATTAGACAAACAAGCAGAAAAATACAAAACAATGGATACTGGTAAGAAACAAAACCTGTTACACAAACAAGCAGAAAAATACAAAACAATGGATTCTTTAAGAAAATAAGAATTGCTTGAGAGACACAAAGAAGCATACAACTGTAATATTAAGAACATAACTTTAGATTCATGTACTCAATAGTTCAAAAAGAAAATAAGGGAAGGTCCGTACTATGTATGTTGTATTTGTAATAGAACACTATATAAGAAATCAGTCTTAAATTTGATTACAAATAGTTATCCCTGTCAGGATATCTTCAGTATACAAACTTCATTTGATGGAAAACAAAACATTTGTAAGACTAGCCACTCTAAAGCCATTAAAGACAGACTGCTCCCATGTTTAGCAGTTAATTGCAAACAATTTGTATGTGGATGATGTTCCAACTCAGCTTGAATCTCTAACAAAATCAGAACAAATAGTAATAACACAGCAAATAGTATTTGAAAAAATAATTGTTTTGCCTAAAGGACAACAGAGGAAAATTGAAGGTGCCATATGCAATGTTCCGATTGAATGTGACCAAACATGTAACATACTGCCTCATCCTCCTGAAAGATCAGGTATTATCATTCTAGAATTAAAAATAAAACTTCAATTCAAGGGACATGTTTATTTTGAAGCAGTAAGACCAGAATTCATAATGACAGTATTAAATTGGTTATAAGCCGATAACCCCTTATATTTAACAATTATTCGCCGATGGCGAGGTGAATATCGTTGAATAATCCCCGAGACGAAGTCGAGGGGATTATTCGACAATATTCACCGAACCTGAGGCGAACAGTTGTTTTAGTATAATTTCAGAGTTGAACAGCAGAGAAATTTCAAAAATCATAACATTTTAGTAACATTTATTAACATTTTATTCTAACATTTTATATAAACCGCGTGGAGCGGTTTATTTTGCGTCATATAAGGAACCGTTCGACCAATCAGATTGCTGGAAACTCTTTGCTCAGCTCTGAAATTATACTAAAAAGATATACAGATTGATTGTACAAATATTGGTACAGCTCTAACAAGTACAACACAGAATGAGCTTACAGACAGCACTACACCTCATAGCTCTCCTACAAATAATTAAGAAAATGCATCTGAAAATGCAGATGATTGTATTAGAATCGACAGTGATCTATTTTGATCTACACGTATTAGAAGTGAGTCCGTTTTCTTTCTTTTTTTGTGACAGCATTTGTGCGCAGCGCTTTTCACTTCCTATACCTTTATAATAATAAGCAAAACAAAGAAACATGCGGTGGTAGGGAGTTAAAAAAACAAACGACATGATTTGGACTTAAATTTGTCGAAACGTAAATTAAACAACACTCTTCGTCAGATTACATGCCTTTGTAAACATTACTAAGAAAACAATCCCGAGTTCAAGAAGTTGTACGTCTAGTTCAAAAAAACTTTGATATGTAGTCTCGTAAGAATACTTGAAGTTACCGTAAAATACGAGATTTTTTACCAGTAGTTATTGTTTATTTTGAACTAATCTAATCCTCATAGGTGACGCTTTCAAAGTGTAATGTTTCTTTTTTTTTAATGTTTTTTTTTTCTTGCGAATGTATAAAGTATTGGATAAGCACTGAAGTTCTTTCTCTACTTTTTTCTTCTGGCTTAGGGGGTCAGAAAGAGAAAGCTTAGCCCCCAATAATCAAAATTTGTCAAATTTTTCTCCTTTACAAGTATTGCGAAAGCTTTAAGTTTGAAATGTCTCCAAATTGTGCCGCAACTGTTTACATACTCTCATCTAAACTTACCAATAAAACAATGAGAGTTCGCGTACCGTCTATCTCTATTATTTAATTAGTAGTTTCATTACTGAACAGTTTCAGAGTTTTGACTTGTCAAGCTCTAGCAAAGGCGAGGGCACGAGAAAAAGGTATTGAGGGAACATACTGCAAAAAAACACATGAGCTTAAAGGGGAGGAGGGTCAAATTTGCTGGATGTGTCAGGTCTGAGAGACAGATTGGATGAACTCGAGAAACCACAGGGCGCCCATACAATCTGTTTGTGTATCCGACTGTTGTTTTATAGTGAATGTACCAGATTTACCGTTTGCCTCACCTATAGTGATATATTGCTGACTATGTACATAAATCATTGATAAATAAACGTTGAATTACTTTACCTGTGGTGCATAGTCGTCCTTTTGCCTCAAAAATGTTTTTTTTTNGATTTTGAATAAGTCTGAGTTCGTAGTTAATGTAATGCATAAAAGAAAGACAAGGATGGAAGCTTTGTTTTGAAAGGGTTCAAGCGCCCGAGCGATTTTCCCCCCGAAAATCGCATCGCTCCGCTTTCAAACTTCGCAGCATTAAGGTCAAAAGATGCACGATTCTCCTCGTACCTTCCAATCGAAAATCCATCCAAACCGACCGGAGTTAGCCCTCGAAGAAAATCAAAATCCCACAGTATTTGAGCGTCTAGGATACGAAGCAAGATTCTCATGTGCCAGCCAGAAACCTTCACGCTGATGGCCCTTTTCTGATTGGACGACGTTATTTTGAATTGGTCAATCACAAAAGGGCTACCGCGTGACGGTTTCTGGCTGGCACATGAGAATCTTGCTACGTATCCCAGACCCTCAAATACTGTGGGATTTTGATTTTCTTCGAGGGCTAGCTCCGGTCCGTTTTGATGGATTTTCGATTGGAAGGTACAAGGAGAATCGTGCACCATTTGACCTTAATGCTGCGAAGTTTGAAAGCTGAGCGATGCGATTTTCGGGGAGAAAATCGCTCGGGCATGTGAACCCTTTCTATAGCATAAAAAGGGCGTGTGAACCCTTTCTATAGCATAAAAGAAAGACAAGGCTTCCACCCTTGTCTTTCTTTTATGCATAACATTAGCGACGAACTCACACTTTTTCAAAACCGCTCAAAAAAACATTTTTAAGGCAAAAGGACGACTTTACACCACAGGTTAAGTAATTCAACGGTTATTTATCAATGATTTATGTACATAGTCAGCAAACGGTAAATCTGGTACATTCAATATAAAACAACGGTCGGCTACACAAACAGATTGTATGGGCTCCCTGTGGAGAAACATGCCGCGGCTTATACCGGTCACTCGAGACTTGCGTAAGGAATCGTCTATTGTTATGAAAGTCACCAATCGTCTTGTGATTGCTCAATCAAATTCGGATGCTATTACCCTGTCCCACTTTAGTTTGACCATTCAGTTCTTCCTGTCTTTCCTTATTGACACAGTATCTTCGTTAAAAGTTAACAATTTAGCAAATGAAGGAGACATGAACCTGATTATATTTTGGGTTGAGTTGAAACTTTCCGTCAAAACTTCTACACGCTCTAAATGTTTCGAAGAGTACAAAATTGTCCCAGAATCCGTTTTGGCAGACTTCAGCTCCGAAAAAACAGGTCTCGCTTTCTTCAAAACGCTGAGAACGAAATTTTGTGAAGCGCAGTGCAAGTACTTCAACTTTTCTTTCAGGTTAATTTGGAAAGTTTATTTCAATATGGGATTTAAAATCCCGGAGAATAGAATTAAAAGAAGTTTAGGTATTAAAGAAGCACCATTCACGCTTCAGTCAAAAGTTAAAGGTACATAAATAGTTGAATTACTCACCAGCATCAACTGCTTCTGGCGCTGACCAGGTGAATATTCCCAGTCTCATTTCTTTTTCGCAGGGTACCCACTCAGAGCATGGCAGTGTAGTGGAAGCGAGTCTCTCTTAGCGTTGGGAAATTTCCCAGTTGACTGATTGTAAAATTCGCGTCGATTGAAAATCCTAATTGGTGGTTATCTGAAGAAAGCTAAAGTCCCTGTCCTTCTCAAAAGGATTTGTTTTTAAAGAGCTTCTGACGGAAGGCCATGGCAGCCAGCGGAATATCCTTCCCAATTTCTGCTGGTCTTTGTGAACCCTCAGTGGCGGGTCCATCTGAAGAAAAGACAAATGGCACAAGGCTGACAAGACTACTCATTGATAAAGGAACGAAGGCTCTAAGAAAATTCTTAGATTCTTTTCATCCAGGGTCAACATTACAGCACGCATTATGCAACAATCGCCCAAAGCTTGAACAGCTGAAACGGAATCGTGTAATATTTGATACACAATGGGAGAAATTGTTTCCTTCCTCAGGTAAACCGCCAGACTCGAAAGAATTCGACATCACGCTTCTACACTTATTGCTCCGTGAAATTTTTCATCTAAAAGCCCCGTCTAATGGATGGCATAAAATGCCAGCAGACGCTGATGCGACCCCTGAAGCCAGCATCGTCCGTATAAAATGCTATCGAAATGAGCTTTGTCACAGTGTTTCTACTGGAGTCCCGAATGACGAATTCGAAGACAAGTGGAACATGATATCTTCGTCTTTAGAAGTACTTGAGGTAGCTGCCTATCGGAAGAAACTTCAGTCCCTGAAGAGTGCCACTATCGATCACGATGCTTGGTTGGTGGAAGAAGAACTCGAACAATGGCGGAGGGAGAAAGAACTAGAGAAGAGTGGAAAAGTCTCTGAACTCTGCAGTTGTCTTCCAGATGACAGGCCAGAGGAACATGTTATTGGTCGTGGTGAGCAAATACAAGACATCAAAGATAAAGTTCAAAGTGGAACAGTACCTGTAGTTCTGATCACTGGTGGACCGGGATTCGGAAAGACCACCGTAGCCAAGCGAGTGGCCTGTGAATTAGCCAAAGCAGAAAATAAAAGAACCGTGTTGTTTTGTAGCCTATTATCAAAGACAACTTTCAACGAAGCGACTGTGGAAATGATCAACTCATGTCATAAAGTGGTCAACACGCAAGTACCAGAGAATCCGGGGCAGTGGCTTAAAGACTGGAGTAAACAGATTCAAAACCAAGTCACTTTTGTTCTTGACAATGCAGATGGTGTCATCAAATCTGAAGATCGCGAATCTTTCTTCAATTTCTTACGTGATGTAAGAATGTTTTCGGGAAAAAATGTCACATTTGTGATAACTACAAGAAGAACATTCCAAAATCCCGACCTACTGTCAGAAGAAGTCAGGCTACACCCGTTGTCAAACGAACAGGCCAGAAATCTTTTGGATGCTCAGGTTCAAAATGTTCAAGAGCTTTCTAAAGCAGAGCGCATTGTGGAACTTTGTGGCTGTGTTCCTCTGGCACTATGCATTGTTGGATCCCTCCTTTCAGACTACACCGAAGAAACTCTAATTAAAAACCTGGAGAAAGAACCACTCGCTGTACTGGAGGACGATCAAGTGTCTATAGAAAAGGCCATCAAGACTTCTTTTGATCTTTTGACTGAAGCTGGACAAGAAGCCTTCGTTCTTATGTCAACTTTCCAGGGGTCATTTGACTCAGTTGCTGCCGAAGCTGTGATGAAAGCATGCTCAATTCCTGGAATTCAGCCCATCTCGATAATTCGCTTCTTGAAAAAGAGTTCGCTAATCGAGCAACCAAGTTCACAGAGGTACCAGATGCATCCTCTCATTCACTCGTATGCGAGGAAGATTGGTCATGCTAAGTATGCTGATCTCTTAGCTAGAGGAGAAAAATTGGCTTGTGTTTACTTTGTGTCTCGTCTTGCAAATAACGCCGAATTGTACTGGAAAAAAAACAGCTGCAAAGAGTCCTTATTTTCATTCAACAAGGACAGGAACAATTTCGAGCATTTCCTTTGCATTTACGCTCAAAGAAGGGAGGGAAAGGATGAAGAAATTATGGAAGGCTCTCAAACTCTTTTGGAGAGTTTTCCACAGAAGTGCATGTATTTGGAAAAGTGTCTTCATCCAAAGAATTATGCTCACATTCTTGAGCAGTTATTGGACACAATTGACTCAACTATTCAGCCAATGCATGTCGTAGAACTGTTGTGTCTTCTTGGACATGAGTGTAGGAAGAAAGACCAAAAGAAGTACAAAGAACTTATGGAGAGAGCGGAAGAAATTTATCCATTGTAAGCTGGGAAGTTTACCGAAAATCCGTTATCAGAAGTCTAGTTTCATAACACTTACGCACGATTCCTTTCCGATAAAAAAGATCCTAAAGAAAACTAAAGAATTGAGAAAGAGACCCAATCAGCTCTAGATGTCAGTAGTACAAGTCTGGGCGATCTTCATCCAGAAACACCAGCAACTCTTCTTCTTTCAGGATCCCTTGCAAAGCGCCGTAAGCAGCGTGATACAGCTGCACGACAGTTAACCAAGGCGTTCGAACTCTTTGAACGGTGCCTTGGTAAACATTTTATGACAGCCGAAGCCCTGAAGGCCCTTGCAGACCTTTGTTTGTTTCTTGGTGGGGGAACAGAAGAGGAAGGCAACTTAAAAATTTGCACTYAWTRTWWKA